TATTTTGCTCCTTCTGTTTCCATCTTTGAGAGCTTTTGGGACTTTTTTTCTCTTCCTCTCTTGAGATTTGAAATTTAATAGTGATGTGCCTTTATTAGATTGTATTGGGCCCCTCTAAGTCTTTCCAATTTGAGGGTCACCCCCATTTTTAGATCCTGGGAAATTTTTCTCTTCGGTATTTCATTGATAATTTTCTTTGTTCTTTTATTAGGTTTCATAAACCTAGATGCTTGGATCTCCTGAATTCAGGGTTTAATTTTCTGTCCTTTTCTGTTTTCTCTGCTTTATCTCTCGCAGTGTATCCTTGATTTTTTTGCTGGTGGAGGATAATTTTGCTGTGAATTGAACCCAGGACCTCATGCATGTTAGGCAAGTGGGCTAATACTGAGCTGTTACATCCCCACCCTTATCTTTGACTCGTTTTTTTTTTTTTTTTTCTTCGTTTTTAAATCTTTATTGTATTTTAAATTTGCATAGGTTGGGCATGGTAGTGCATGCTTATAATCCCAGCACTTGGGAGGCTAAAGCAGGAGGATTGTTGTGAGTTTGAGGCCAACCTGGGCTACAAATTGATCTCAAGTCTAGCCTGAAGTCCATAGTGAGACTCTGTCTCAAAAAGACAAAACCCCAAAATTTTCCAAGTCTGTTTCCTGTTATGGTTGGTGTAATCTGTTATGGGTTTGGCTTTCTGTTCATGTTTAAGAGTGAGGCACTTAGAAAACCAGAGTATTTGAGTTCAGAGTGTGCTGCTGATTTAAGGGTCAGTAGAGGTTGAACACTGACTTTGAGGGAAATCCTCAAAACATCAGCATGTGAAGGTCCTGAGAATGAGTTTCTCTATAGAAAATTCTGCTTGAGGGCTGATGAAGGTTGGGGAAGGATGGTGTAGTTTTAGTCCTCATTCTACTGTACTCTGCCTGTCCTTAAGGTATCTTTCATATTTTCTAAAAACTGAACTTTTGGATTCTTGCCAAAGGGGGGTTACAGGGGGGAAAGTTTGGTCTGAGGATTTTATGTGTTCTGATCAAGGACTTTGTACCTTTGCTTTATTCCTATAGTTTCTGGTACTTCCAGATTCTGAGGCCTGCTTAGGGGTCGTGGGGGCTTGTAGGCCAATGTTCCTCTTTCCCACTTTATTTCATAACGTTTAAAAAAAGTATTTTATTAGTACATATTTGAGCTACATCATGATTACATTCATAATGGGGTATTGGTACATGTGCATAACACATCTTAATACTTTCTTTTTAAGAGGTATTTAGCTTGATTATTATTTTTTATTATTACTAATTTTTTCTTGCTTCTGCCAGTTACTATCCCTCCATGAGCATTCTACTTTCTAAGGTTTCATTAAAAACTATTGTTCTGTGTGGCCCCCTTTTTTTCTTTGACCTTAAAGGAGTATATAATTTTAATTATTTTCTTACCATTTTCTAAGAAAAGGTCAAGATGTTTGGTCAGTTATCCATATTAAAGACTCCCCCTTTGAAAATCCTAAGAGCTGGTTGGTCTGTTAATCCCAGCTGCTTAGGATAAAGTGGGGGGATTTTTTTTTTTTTTTTTGCGGAACCGGGGATTGAACTCAGGCCCTTGCGCTTGCCAGGGAAGCACTTATTCCACTGAGCCATCTCCCCGGCTAGGGGGGGATTTTTGAATTTAAAAAAAAATCCAAGTAAGAACCCACTTATTCTATAATTGATCACAAATTTAAGCCAAAGGCTAGGCCCCAGAGATGCAGAAATATTGGGGACATGGTAATAGTGTCTAGGAGTTCATACTGTGTTGCTTGCTGCTGGTGTGACCAGAGTGGAATTGGAGTGCTGGTGGGAACATACCTGCCTCCTGGGGTCCTCGCATTTGATACTGGTGCTTGCAGTATCAGAGGGGGGAAGCAGCATCTGGGAACCCTTGGCAGAAGAGCTAGCTCTCAAAAACCCAAAACAAACCCACAAAACACAAAACAAAAAAAATTAGCTGTCCTGACTGAGGTTGGACTTGAAGGCTGCATACAGAAAGGACTTCCACCTGTCTTCTGAAGCCCAGGAGTATGCCCGAACTCTCTAGAGGCTTCAAAGCACTAATATTTACATCCTCTATAAATCTTCCCCTCAAACACTTAAATTTGGACAGAAAACCTAATTCTAATTTTGTTCATTATTGAACTGTGCCTTGCAAATACTGAGTGGACTCTACTACTGAGTTGTTATACTGCCAGCCCCACTCATTTTAAATGACTGTTGTATGGTTCATTATTTACTTAATACTTTATGTTGGATATGTCCCTAGTATTTGTTATACTGTGGTATTTGTATACATAGATTTTAGTTTGCATTTCCCCTAGAAGTCATACAACTAGAAAGAAGAATCTGAATAGCTTTCATATATTACCTATGCCAGATTTAACAAGAATATCAGATAAATATTTCTCCCAGCAGAATGTTTGAAAATTCTGCACTTTTCTTTTTGGTACTTCAGATTCAAGTCAGAACCTTGTGCTTGCCAGGCAGGCACTTATGCCACTGAGCTATCTCCCCAGCCCTCTGCACATTTTTTTAAAAATGAATTTTAGGACAGGGTCTACAGGGTGTACAGGGTCTCACTGCGTAGGTTGGGCTTGTAGTGATCCTCCTGTTTTCAGCCTCCCAAATGCTGGGATTACAGGCACACACCACCATGTCCTGTCTCATTCTCCAGCTCAGTGCGCCCTGGGGGCAAGGCCGGCATGGCAGGTCAGGGAATCGAAATCTCGGCCCCTGTGTCTGCCTAAGCAGGCACTTTAATCTGCTGAGCTATCTGGCCAGCCCCACATTTTAAAAGAGCTTTTATTTTTTATTTTTTTTATTTTGAGACCTGGTCTTGGTTTTTGTTTCAGGCTGGGCTTGAATTATAGCCCAAGCTGGCCTTGAACTCACAGTAGTTTTTCTGACTCACCTGCTTGAGCACTGGGATTACAGGTATGCATTACCATGCTGGTTTAAACCTTACATTATCTGGTATTTCATGGGCAGTCTCCTATCCAAATTACTATTCATCAGCTCCAGCCCTGCATAGCTTCTAAAATCAGGCATGTTCAGGGTTGTATGGCCATGGATTCCCAGGTGGAGATGTCCAGCATGTTTTCAGGAGTATATGCCCTCATCCCTCCAGCCTTGTAGGAGGCATTATGAAAAAGGCAGAGATTTGGAGAACAATCCCACTCCTTCCTGGGTGGGCTTATCGTATGAGAGATGACATTTCTCTTTGGATATTGGTATTCTCTGAGTGAGTGGCAGTACTGGTGATTGAATCCAGCAATGCTACATCCCCAGTCCTTTATTTTTAAAATTGTTTTGGTACGGGGACTGGAACTCATGACCTTGAGCTTGCCTGGCAGGTGCAGTACCTTAGAGATACACCCTCTGCTCCCACAGTCCTGTGTGTGTATGTGTGTGTGTATTTTAGGACAGGGTTTACAGGTCTACACGTTCTCACTGTAGATCAGATTCATAGTGATCCTCCTGTTTACAGCCTCCCAGGTGTTGGGGATTATAGGCCCATGCCACCACGTCCAGTCTCATTTTCTGACTTGGAGTGCCCTGGGGCAAGGCTGGTATGGCAGGCCTGGGGATCGAACTCCCGGCCTCTGCATCTGCCTAAGCAGGTGCTTTAATCTGCTGAGCTATTTGGCTGGCCCTCCATAGTCCTTTTTGAGATAAGAGTTTCACTAAGTTGCTCATGGGCTATAAAAAGTTCTCTTGTTCTAGCCTCCAGAGTAGCCAGGAATACATGGTGTCACTATACCCGGCTGGATGCTTGTGACCCCATGTAAAGCTTGTTCTTGAAGATACAATGTTAGCGTCTAGAGTGGGTAAGTTGCCTGTCGGTCATCTACCCAGTGACCCGTTGACATTCTTGTGACTTGGTTGCTGAGCATGTTGTGGATCAGATAGTTAAGTAGAAACAGAATGGGCTTGAAGGCTTGTAGTCTTTCTGTGTTCCCTCAGTAGATTTTGAGAAGACCAAGTGGTTATAGCGGTGTCATTTTGATCTTGCTTCTAAAACTGGGCTCCCACACTCGGGAGGCTGAGGTAGGAGGATCGTTCAGAGTTCAAAACCAGTCTGGGCTACGAAGTGACCTCAAGGCCAGCCTGAACTACATTGTGAGACCGTGTGTCAAAAAGACAACCCAAAACCAAAACAGGGCTTCCTATTATCTAAAGCACCCAAAGTTTTTAAAAAGAAAAGAAATGAAGTATTTTTCTTGGGAGCCAAACTAAGCTTATACAGATTGTGACTTTGTTCCCATGATGGATGGGTCCTTTGCCTTGGGAATGTACACAAGCCAGGTGAGGGTTAGTAAAGACAGGTGGCAGGGAGCGGCTGGCTGTAGCCTGCTTAGTAGACTCGCAGGGCCATGGAACCCACATTTCAATTCTTTGGCGGGCTGTGGCTACTATTCCCTCGGTAGGACAACAGCTTTAGCAGGAAATGAAGGACGTATATAATGTGGGGCTAAGGTGAGGACCCTTTTAAAATCCTGACACACTGAGCTGTCTGTGCATAAGAACAGTACTCACAGGCTCTGCCCAGTGATAGACTTTAACTAGTCAGCTCCAGATTTGGACTGTTGAACTGAATGATTCCTTCAGACCATTTCTGACAGTGTCCTCGAAAGGAACAGTGAATGAAACCTAGCAAAGAAATCACTGCCAGCTTAAACATCAGTCCTGTGGGAGGCCCTAGAACTTCTCAAGACCAGCGGATTGGGGCATAGAAGGTCATGTAACAGTTGTGTGCTCTTCTTTTGCAGGGTGGGACAAAATATTTCTCTCCCTTGGCTGGTCTGGTACCTTCTAGCTCTGATCATACCTGTCTGACCTGCAACTTGCCTCTTTCTCTCAAGCACTGTTTGACTGGGAGCCTGAAGTGGAAGGCTTTTGGTTTAGGCCATGAGTGATGTGTTTGCTTCAGCCCAAGTCTTTTTTCTTTTTGATGTGATCCTTTTGTTTCTCTACCACCAGGTCCTCCCTCCGAATTTCTCAATGTCACAAGTGCCCAACATACCGAGCTGTCCACAGGCCTATTCTGAACTGCAAACACTGTCCCCCAGTGAGCGGCAGTGTGTGGAGACAGTGGTCAGCATGGGCTATTCATATGAATGTGTCCTGCGAGCCATGAAGAAGAAAGGAGAGAATATCGAGCAGGTGAGAGGTTGACCTGCAGGGGTAGGTAGGTGAGCCAGGAGAGCATCGTGACCTCTGGAGCTGGAGTGGTGACTTGCCTCTGGCCTGCAGCCCTGCACACTTGTAGCATCAGCCTACTTTCCTATGGGTTTGTGTGGACTCTGGGTACCATATCAGGAAAACTAGTAACTTTGCCAGCAGCACTTCTTTGGGGTCTGCTTTGGGACCTTAGCTGAGGGAAAGCATGGAGCAAAGATGGTAAACATTTTAGAGCTTTCAGTGATAATAGCCAGCTGGGCCATGTGTGCCATAGGTTTGCCCCCACTAGCCTAGAAAGTACTGGAGCTGTTAGGCTGTCATCCAAATAATCCCTTCCTCCTTTGCTCTTCCAGAGAGGCCAAAACTGGGCGTATGGTCAAGTATGTCCTAGAAATGTTCAGCTTGTCATAGAGATCTGTATTTAGGGGACATTCTTACCTGCACTGTTGCTTAGCACCCTATCCTGCCAGGCTGTGGAGGACATTGGGGGAATTGTGAGTCAGTCCTTTGGAAGGGTGTGCCTGCCTGTTTAGCACGTAGTCACTGGGGCTGGGCTGGGCTGAGCATGGTTGAGGGTGCGATGGCTGAGCACAGTTGGGGGTTGGGTAGCAGACTTCACATTAACTAGTTTAAGACTAGGAAATACAAAGGTGTGGCAATAGATGTTCTCCTTTTTTTCTTAGATTCTTGACTATCTCTTTGCACATGGACAGCTTTGTGAGAAGGGCTTCGACCCCCTTTTAGTGGAAGAGGCTCTGGAAATGCACCAGTGTTCAGAAGAAAAGGTGAGAACCTTGTCTCTTGGGAGTCCTCTAGAAAAGATCAAACAGTCATGGTTTGCATGCTTCACAACCCCCTTCCCTTGCCAGTGACTGTAGGCAAAAGCAGTTGAAATATAGACTCTCCCAAATACTCAGCAGCTTGAGGCCTGTGTTTGGCTTTGATAAAACATTGGATTAAAGATTATCTAGAATATCAGTGAAGGGAAAATTTGATTTGGGAAAAAGCCCAAATTTCTGGTTGACTTGGGTCATTGCCATTCTTTTTGCCTATGTTACTTCCCAGAAAATAGCCATTTTGAGGTTTATTATTTTGCCATAGTGGGACTATGGATATGTCTAGTGGGACAGGTCAGCAAGAATGGGTTGGGGCTGGGCACAGCTCCTGAAGGATGGTGGGCTGGGCATCAAAGTTATCTCCTAGATTCCTTTACCCTGACTCCCTCTACACTTTTCGGCTATGCTTTGTGGCTAGAGCCCTAATTTGTATTTTCCTCTGTTCTTTAGATGATGGAGTTTCTTCAGTTAATGAGCAAATTTAAGGAAATGGGGTTTGAATTGAAAGACATTAAGGAAGCCTTGCTATTACACAACAATGACCAGGACAATGCTTTGGAAGACCTCATGGCTCGAGCTGGAGCCAGCTGAGACCAGGCCCTGCCTCAGCCCTGCCACGGAACCACCACCCCCAGGAGGCCCTGGAGAGCCCACCTGTGGGGAAAGAGAAGGGGCACACTTCTGGATTTTCTTTTGGGGGTTAGGTCAGATGTGGAGACTGTGCTTGCCAGTCTCTATGAGCCTAGGTCTTGAGCTGGAGAAAGTGGGGAAGATTTGGGCATGTGAGTGCCCCAGATTGGTCCTTGCTCCTTCCATATTAAATTTATTTGTATTTTGAGAAGTGTCCTTCCCACTTTGGCCCTCCAGATAGACTAAGT